TGCGCGGGCCATGGCCTCGGCGTGCGGGACGCCGGCCCTGGGGGGCGCCGGGCCGGGAGGCGCGCTGGGAAGCCCAGCCCCTGTCTGGTACCACCGAGACCTGAGCCGCGCTGCCGCCGAGGAGCTGCTGGCCCGGGCAGGCCGCGATGGCAGCTTCCTGGTCCGAGACAGCGAAAGCGTGGCGGGTGCCTTCGCGCTCTGCGTCCTGTGAGTGGCGCTGGGGCTCCAGTGGGCTGGGGCACGGCCTGGGGTTCTTTGAATGTGTGGAGAGGGCTTGGGACAATGGGACGCCAGCGCCCCCCAGAGTGGGGCCTTAGCTTTATGCTGAGACTGAGGGATGCAGGGAGCACTTCCTGTTGTGTGTCAGGGCGCGGGGGTGGGGGCACTTTCTGGGGCGTTGAGGGAGAGTGCGTGCGGTCTTGCTGCCAGAGTGGCCGTAAGGGGGGTGGAAATGCAGACCCCATCAGGCACCCTTCAGGTAGAAGGAGCTGGAGGTGTGAGGATGTGCATTTGGGCGAGTTGTGTGCAGTGCTGATTATACAGAGATTGGATGTCTAAGTGGTAGGTATAGTGGGAGTTGGGGTGAAGTGGGGATCTGGTACATAAGTCCAGCTCTCAGGAATAGCTGAGGAGGCCAGAGGGACTGATGGGGTGCGTGAGAATGGCCAGCAGCTCCCTTAGGGGGCCTTGCTGTGCATCAGGACTGAGACTGGGGCTTCCCTGGCTGTGTATGGCTGGGACTAGGGGAGAGGGTGGTGTTGAGAAGAAGGAGGTGAGACTGTATGGGGCCTGGCTCCCCGCTGCCCAGGCCTGAGCTATGGGTGCTGAATGTGGGGCTAGACTTGGCATCTCTCTAAGTGGGCCTTGCCCTGTGCCTGTACCCATCAGCCAGCCATGTGTGGCGATGGTGTTGGGGTGAGTTTGTACTTTCAGTTTTGAGCTGTCCCCCACATCACGTAGTCTGACACTAGGTAGGCTCCTATGGGTCTCAGGAGTGGGGGGTGGTGAGTGGGAAGTCACTGCTTTGTTTAGATCTAATCCTCAGCCTCATGAGCCCTCCCAAACTCCTATTTTTCTGTCCCTTTACCCTTTATTCTCTTCACATCTTTGGGGGTACGTTGGCCTAGGCCAGTGTTTCTCAATTGGGAATGATTTTACCCCTAGGGAGACATTTGTCAATGTCTAGAGACATTTTTGGTTGTCACAACTGGGATGGTGCCACTGGCATCTGTGGATAGAAGCCAGGGATGCTGCTGAACATCCTACAACAACAGGACAATCCCTCAGAACAAGATTATGCAGTCCAAAATGTCAGTAGTGCTGAGGTTGAGAAACCCTGATCTAGGCAGTGGACCTGAGGAGGAAGGGGTGCTCCAAGTCTCAGCTTATGTCCCAAGCCTGGGGCCCAGCAGGGGAGACTAAAGAGGAACAGCCTAGGCAGATGACTATCCTAGAGCCCTGCCTTTCAGTCCCCTCTGAGGCATACCCCCTAATTAGGGAGGGGAGGGAGGCAGGTGCTGGGTCAGCTGTTGAGTGGGAAGGGGACAGCTGGGGCTGTGTCTGGGTGAGGAAAGTTATTGTCCCAGGAGGGGAGAATCCTGGCTCCATTGCCAGGGGAGGAAATGGGTGGGGTATGGGTCTGTGGTAGAGGGTACTTCAGCTGACTCTGGCTACTCCTTGCATCTCAGAAACCTGTGGGTAGGTGATCAGAAAAATACTTGCTTACTTGTATACATGCCCACATGTACACGGGTAACATTCAGGGCACATTCCTGCCCCAACAGGTACAGGCAATCTGACCAGCAGGCCAGGTTGTAGGCGCTGGCCTCTGCCCTGGCTTTAAATCCTAGCTCTGCTTTTTACTTGCTTTGTGACCTTAGGCAAATCACCTTTTCTCTGTGAACCTCAGTTTTGTTCTTCTGGAGAATGGAGATAATAATATCTGTCTCAAAAGGTGAAGATTAAATGAGATCACATCTGTTGGGTGCTGAGTACCTGGCCTGTCA